CAAATTTTCACCCGATTTTATCCATTTTAGCCACAGAGATGCACCGTTAGAAAAAAATACGCTCACTAAATTTAATTAAGATAACTTACATATAATTTGGATATACGGGGTATAATCCAGCCCGAAATTCAAAAATGTTTCTATAAGCACTGAGCTTTGTACACTAGAAAATGAAAGTATCAGAAGGAATTTAAAGTTGTATTATATGGGGAGTATACCTGGTTTTTGTCTGATTTCGCCCATTTTCACACTGTAATGTAGGAATGTCAGAATAATATTATGCACCGAATTTGGTTAAAATCGGTAAAGTGGGTCCCATAGATATAGATTTTCACCTAAATGTGTTTCACCTATTTTCATGCTTTCGTAAGAGGTGTAAAATGAATTGTCCTGTGTAAATTTGGATGATATGGCTTGAATAATTGGGAGATATACACATTAAACCTGTTAGGTTTAACTTTTAAAAAAATTTCAAATCACAGGTGCCCCGCCACATTTCGATTCGTTGTATCATATTACGGCTTTGTATCTTAATTTTCGGCTTAGTTATGTCAATTTATAGGTTAATAAATTATATATTATAGATTAATGGCGTTGTTTAGGCGTGGCAATAGTCCGATTACGCCCATCTACGAACTCGTCTGTAACACGTGTACCAAGTTTCATTAAGACATCTCAATTCTTACATCGCTTGCACAGACGGACTCGTCTCATCATCCAGATCATTTATAACCCTATCTAACTCGATTATTTTAAGGTGATACAAACAACCGTTAAGGGAACAAAACTATTATGCTCTGTAGCAACATGTTGCAAGAACATAAAAATACGCAACAACAAAGAAGACGCGCAGCGAACAACGTTAGCAATTGTGGCAGGCAAATATAAACTGTGACCACACGCAAGTTGTAATAATAAATTTTATTTTAATTTCATATGGCCAAGCGAGCAATTAGCACCTGAAAATATGCGAAAATTAAAATCATAAAAAATATGAGCAAAAACTACGAACAAATGGGAAAAATATTCAAAACCAAATCCACAGCAGAGGCAAGTGGAAAAGGACAATGGCAAGTAATTTGAATAAAATGTGCAATGGCATCCGGACACGCACACACGCTCATTCGCACGTGAATATGCCCACACACACACATATAATAAACTGGCAAATGGTCGGACGCGCGCTGGACACATAAGCATAACGTTCACATAATAAAATTCGCACATATTTCGCACAACCTGGAAGCAGAAAGCAGAAAGCACATCCTGTCCGCATGATACAACGCCACTCGATACAAAAACACTCGAGCAGAGCGAGCGACCAACGGCAGCAGGATGCGCCGCCACATAAATTTCATATGCACAACATTGCTGACCGCCTCACAATGCAGACAGCAACTGGCGGGCAGGCTGACCAGGAGCCGAGAGACGCCACCGAAAAGCTTTTACCATTCAACACAGACAGGATGTTACCCGTTTTTTATATACTAAACACACACACACAAGCGTAAGTATGCATGAGTATAATAACGCCTACGCTTTGCTTGCATATGTGTGCTGCAACAGTTCTATTCGGCGGTGGTGGACTTCTGCAGCTGGGCGGTGGCAACAGATGAGTCGAAGAGATAGCGCTGCGATATGAATTCGGTAAACCAGCAACAATTGCCCACATACAAATACGAGGGCGCAAGAAAAGCAACAATATCTGCCTCGCCAACACCACCACCACCACGGCAAACATTGCCAAATACGAGCTTCATGCAACACGAAAAAATCGACAAAAACAACCTGTTCGTAAACACTTGCAATAAGGACACTACATTGCCATGGGCAGATACAAGCATAACCTACCGACAGGCGTTCAAACGCGGCGTGTTCTTCGAAAAAGAGCATGACAATGAGAGTGAGAGGGCCGTTGGAGAGAGAGAGCCTTGTGGCAGGATAGCAAGCACTTATGCTTGTGGTATATTATATAGTATAAGCCTGAAACTCCGCCCATGAGAGCAAACGCTCATACCATATCCATATGTATATGAATGAATATATGTATGTACATATGCACAGAGGGAAATATTAGCGGACCTTGATATATTATATACACATGCATGTGTGAAAGTCCAGTGGGCCCATTACAAACTGATGCTGGGGCATGATTTTTATTCGTCCTAGTACTACTTTGCGTATATACAGATAGACGAACGGACAGACAGACAGACAGACAGACATGGCTAAATCGACTCAGATCGTCATGCTGATCATTTATACATATAGCATATACTTGTATGTTATAGGGTCTACGACGTTTCCTTCTGGGTGTTACAAAATTCCACGTAACGGATACAAATATATAATTTTATGAATATAGAGTTCATATTCTATCAATTTTAGGATAAGAATAATAGCAGGGTACATTGTTCATTTTATTAAAGATATTCATTTTAAATTGAGGAAACTTCCTTTGAGCATGGTCTAAAACGATTTTTTCGAAATTTTTTAACTACCAATTCAGATAAAAACAAAACTATTTTATATTAATTTAAACTACCAATCTTTCCCCTTTTATTCCTTAAGAAAATTTCTCTTAAGACTACCTAATGTGCTAGATGGGATAATTACAATAATGGCCTTTTAAGGAATGCGAAATTATTTATAATATTATAATATAAAGAATAATTTTTACAATTTGTTTAAGTCCAATAAAGGCAACGAGAACATTAACATATTATACATTGAATTAGCTTTTTATCTGATACTCCATCTTATTCAATTCTTGAAAACTGATAAACTTATGCTAAGAATTATATTTTATATACTATATTTCTCCAAAATAATGAGTACAGCATAGGTTTAGAGGAAAGATAGGTAGAGAGAGTAAAACAAAAAGAAAAAATATTATTGTGTGTATAACTATATTTGTGCCATGAGATGTCGTAAGTTGATGATTCCATTGTTCTAATGTTCCCAACATACGTTAGAAAGCTTCTGTCCCTGTACGTCTTTTTCAGTATATGACATTTATTTGAAGCGTAAAAAACAATAATTTTTTTCCTTCAAATATGTCTAACTTTGTGCCTGGAAAATTGATTTTTGCGGAAAATTCTTCTTCAGTACTTTAATACGAAGAAAACCCCAGCCGAAAGTCATCGTATTTTGGCGGCAGTTTATGGTGAACATGCTCTTGCTGAGCGAACGTGCCAAAAATGGATTGTACGATTTAAAAGTGGTGATATTGGCTTGGAAGACTAATAATTTTGGATTGAAAATTAAATTTTTATTTTGGCTCTCGCTTGGCCTCATGTTGCATGACCGATTAAAACTATTTGAAAAACAACAGCTGGAAAATTTTGTCAGACCTTGTACCGGCCGATGCAGAACGCCCTTACTGGAAGACGCATAATATCAAAACAGGTCTCAAAAAATTGCTTGATTCATTTTTGTTCGCCAAGTTGGCGCAGTTCTTTTGGGATGTAATCCTCAAACTGCCAGAAAGATGGGAGAATTATATAGCTGAAGATGGGCAATACTTTGAATAACTAATTCTATTATACATGGAAAAATCGTTAACTTTGGTTGCACCGAAGCTATAATACCCTTCACAAATACAAAAGGTTCCTTACACCTCATGGCGCAATTTGTGAAGATATCTCGTCAAATGAAAAGGCTTTTCATGCAAGTACTTCGTTCCGATCGTTCAGTTAATATGGCAGTTATATGTTATAGTGATCCGATCTAAACAATTTCTCTGGTTATTTCATTTCAGCTTTAAATAATGATCCGTGCCAAATTTGGTGGAGATATTTCGTCAAATAAAAAAGTTTCGCATACAAGCACTTGATTCCGATTGTTCAGTTTGTATGGCAGCTATATATTATAGTGGTCCGATATCGGCCGTTCCGATACATGAGCAGCTTCTTACTGAGGAAAGGACAGGTGCAAAATTTGTGATAGGCTAAAAACTGAGGGACTAGTTCGGACAGACAGATAGACAGACAGACGGACTCAGCTCATCATGCTGATCATTTATGTATATATTTTATTGGGTCTCCGACGTTTCCTTTTGGGTGTTACAAACTTCGTGGCAAACTTAATATACCCTGTTTAGGGTATTAAAAACTGCACGAATATAGTTATTATATTATACGGTCCACTCCGGAAAAAAGCAAAAGAAGTATTCCATCATGTTGCAATATTTCCTAATTTAAGCGAATGGAACTTGTTTCAGTACATTGATTTTATAACATTTTGACTACCAATCGTGCGATTCCCCAAATATACATGTATCATATAAATTCTGGATAAACTTTTATCATTAGTATTTGTATTATTGTTTAATCAGCTGTTTCCAAATATTGAATGTCAGTATCAACGACCAAATACTTATCGAATGTAAAATTTCACCGATTGAATTTTCGGAAGTTAGCACCTATTGTTAAACCCGATAAGTAAATTTGTTTTCCCCCATTTACTTACACATATACCAGCATATATACAAACACACCTACAGCACAGCTACAGTTTACGTGGGGTAAATAGTTATGGGCGTCAGCCAACCAGCTGAAGGCAACGGTGCTCTCAAATTTTTTACTCTCCCGAAATCATAAAATCGGAGAATATGTTGGCAACTTCGAAAACAGATGGAACGCTTTCGAAAAATGAAAACAACGAGGCATGCACACAAATGTAAGCAAGCAAAAAGATGGTAAGCAACAGTCTCTGAGAGCGTTAAATGTAGCTTCCACCCATAAAGAAAGTGGTCGACATAAGGGTGTGCTGATGACCGTATTGCAAAACTGTTCCTGTATATGCACATATACATCCATGCATATATAGGAGGTGAGCAGGTTGGTGGTGCACTTCAAGTAGAATTTGCACAGATGCGCGAGTGTCAGTCGTTTTGAATGCAACAATATGAGCAGATGAAAGTCCAAGTGGATGCGCATGGGGTGGCGGTTTGTATTTACGTGGCTAGTTAAACTTCAGTTGTACTCACTGCTGCTGGTTACTACTTAAGCAGGAACAGATTGTTGCGAAGCACCAGTCTGCTGTTGGATTTCGAAATCGGCGGGTATTACTAAGAAAACGCTATTTTACTAAAGTGAAAAAATAAAATAAAATAAAGTATGTGAAAACAGTGCAAGTGTAGTGCTTAATTGAAGGGCTCTTTTATTAATACATCAAAAAAATCTTAAAAACTTTGCAAAGACACTTCATCATACATCGCATTTATAGTTTGTGTTTTACGAAAACTGATGAACATGATCATGGAAAATAATCATCACCTGATCCACCAGCTTCAGCAAAGCACACCGCCATTGCCGTCACCACAACGAGCCGACTTGTGCGTCTCTACGACGCCACCAAATGACTCTTTAAGTCCGCTTTCAAGTCATAACAGTAGCAATAACGACATACAAGTGTCGCCTGTTGCCGCAACAACAAATCTGAGCAATGGAAAGACGTCTTTAAAACGTTCTTTCGATGTCGCTTTTCTAATGATGCCCGATGAGCGTTTCAAGCAGAAGCAAAACGAAAAGTATGCCCGACTGTCGAATTATACTGACCGCCCCCAATATCCCACAGATTTATCACCACGTACCACTCAACATTCGCCACCACAAAACAATCAGCAACTGCCGCAGCAGCAACAGCATACACAGCAATCACTAATTAATCCGATCGAATCGGTTGTCAACATGCAAGAAGCACGTCGCTATCCCCAAATCAGCATACGACCACCTCGCGTTTATGATGACCCAACTTTGGTTATTCCTGTTGGTAGCGAATCGCCCGAGTGTGTGCCTTTAAAGAGCGCCTTTACCAAGGTATGCTCGATGCGCCTAGAGTCACCTATTCAGCCTGCGCCCCCACTGAGTCCCGATCAATTGAGCTGCTCATCCATAAGTCCACCCATAACCACAACGCCTCCACGGACAAATAGTGGCGGCAATGGTAGTCTCTCGAATGGCAGCGGTGGCAATACGACGCCATGTCTCAATCCGAATATCATCTACCAAAATTTCCGACCAGAGTATCAGTTTAATGGTACATTTCAGTCTGTTAATCACATACAAATGCTTCAGGCACAGCGTCTCAAGCAGCAACTGCTTTACCGAACCCCACTTAATCCCTCTGCAGCCGCCGCACTTGCCGCCAGCAATCCTCCTGGATCTCACACAAATGTAAACTCCAACCCAGAATTTCTACACGGCTATCCAGCGTTTTCCTTTCCCAATGCGGCCGCTGCTCATCCATTCGCGGCTGTAGGACCACCGGAGATGCCACGAATCGCACAGAGTCCCGCGGCAGCCGCAATACTTACAACGCTAATACCACCCACACTGGCTTCTACGTTTTCCTTGACTGCTCAAAATGTTTGCGCTAAATGTAACATAAGCTTCCGCATGACGAGTGATCTCGTCTATCACATGCGTTCCCATCACAAAAATGAAGTTGCATGTGATCCTAATCGGCGTAAGCGTGAGGAAAAGTTGCGCTGTCCCGTTTGCCAGGAGACATTTCGCGAACGTCATCATCTTACACGACACATGACTGCTCACCAAGACAAGGAGAGTGACCAGGTGACACCAAATGGTTCTGCGTTAGGCGAAGGAACAGAAAGGCTGCATAACTTAGCCAGTAGCGGGAATGGACGCCATCAAGCGGCGCGTATCCCAAGTATGAACAAATGATCGAAGCATTTTTTCGGATATTTTTAATTTTGTTTAACGTCTACTTAATTTTTGGTCTTCTACTATGGCCCATTTGTGATATTAATTTAATGCAGGTTTGAAAACCACCATTATATTTGAAGTCATTTAGCTTCGTAGCACAATTTGAAAGTTGTAAAATATTTAGAAAGAAATACTAACATTAAATAATTATAAGAGTGTACATTTAATCAAAAATAATGTTGAAATGTTTTAAAATGCTTTCAAATTAAATCATTGTAATAAATATTGTATTCGAACATGCTTACCAATGTATATAAAATAATGCACTCAGTGTTAACCAATAAATCATTAGCGATGTTGAAAAGAAGTACTTGCATTTTCTGGATGATGAATATTTATGGAAGAAATTGAACTGAGGCTTTCGAACCAAAATAGTTTACGAGGCACAATAATTCCTTCTTCAGATATGGGGTTGATAATAGAGAAATTTGAGTCAGATTAACTTCTTTTTTACACAGATTTAGGCCTAAATAACGAAGAACGTCAATATTTGCAGATAATATGATAATTCAGAGACATTCTTTATTTTGGGTCCATTTTAGCATAAATAACACTAACATATAAGGTTGTGACATATCAAAAAAAAAATTAATGCGCTTGGAACAACTTGGAATTATTGGGTTCATTTCACTATTGGGTCGTTCAATAAATATTGTAATTTCGTTTAATGACAGCTGATCTTATTGAATTTTTTCGCAGCCAATTTCACACTTAAGCGCGTTACCGTTATATGTTTGAACTGCTTATATAGTAAGGATTATTTGTAAAAAATTTCTTAAAAAACAGTATATATGGCATATATTACTGTTTTACTATCAAGAAGGTAAAAATACAGTTCAGGCAAAAAGAAAATTATGTGATGTGTACGGAGAAGATGTGTTGACCAAACGCCAATGCCGAAACCGTCGAATAACAACTCGAAAGATTATAAACAGATTAAATCTGTCTAACGCGACCATTCACAAGCACATGAAACGTCTAGAATTAAATTCGAAGCTTGAAAGAAGCCATCCATTTTTGAAGCGCGTTGCTACTGGCAACGATAAGTGATCATGGTCTAAAAAGAATGAACCAGCTCAAACCAATTTGAAAGCCGATAGTCACCAAGAAAAGGTTATATTGGTGGGATTTGAAAGGGATCGTTTATTTTCAGCTTTTGCTCGTCAATACCAAGAATAATTCTGAATTGAATTGTTATCAGCTGGACAAATTGAGTGATGCATTCAAACAGAAGAGACCAGAATTGAACAATAGAAAAGGTGGTTTTCCACCAGGATAATGCAAGACTTCATACAAGTTTGGTGACTCGTCGAAAGTTTTTACTCCTTGAATGGGATGTGCTACCCCACCAATCATATTTTTCAGGTCTGGCACCTTCGGACTATTGATTGTGCCTGTCTCTGCAAAATTTTTGATAGGAGAACCTTCACCTCAAATCAGGACGGCAAAAACTAGTTGCACCATTTTTTTTGGCGGCAAGGATCAAACATTTTATGAGCGTGAAATCAATTTCTTACCCAAAATGCCCGAAAGCAACTACGTGAATAAATATATTTATATAATTACTTCTCTATTATTGAAGTAATCCTTCAAAATGGAACTGAAATTAGAAATGGTTGTAGCTGAGGGTAGTAGAGCAACTCTTAGTTAAGAAAAAAATTCTGTGTTTAAAATAATATTTGTCCTATTTAGGAATTGTTATGGATGTCGAAAATGATTAGGAGTTATTTAGCCTAGTAATTTAAAAAATGTATTTAACTTGGTAATTGCATTCATATATTTTTCAAGTCAAGCTATGAAAAGACAAATAACTCTTAAGGTAGTAGGCTGGTTTTTGTCAAGAATCCTTTAATTAATTAATTTTATAAATATATAACTCACACACCGAACGACATATTCGGTAGTTGGGGGTAATTCGTAGACTAACTTCATATATTTGCGCCATTAAACTATGTATATCCAATATTATAAAGTTAATTTCGTTAAAATATCTTACATAGTGACTGATTTTTATGGTATAAGGCCAACCGCAAGTTTGAATATTATTATTTAGTATGGGTATGGTATAAATTTTTCGCAATACCACATACTATTAACAGATTTAAGGTATCTCACTTACCATGACAAATTTTTATGGTGTAAGGTGAACCGGATGTTCTAAACTCCAGATATTAGGGCAAGTTGTCACCTCATTTTATCCATTTAATTTACAAAGATAAACTGTTAATACACACATACATTCTAATAATTTATATATGTATGTATATATAACCCTTAATTTCGTTAAAATATCTTACATATTGACTGATTTTTATGGTATAAGGCCAACCGCAAGTTTGAATATTATTATTTAGTATGGGTATGGTATAAATTTTTCGCAATACCACATACTATTAACAGATTTAAGGTATCTCACTTACCATGACCAATTTTTATGGTGTAAGGTCAACCGGATGTTCTAAACTCCAGATATTAGGGCAAGTTGTCACCTCATTTTATCCATTTAAT